GCTCCGCTATTATTATGACATTCCCTCCATTAAGCTGTAAGCCTGCTTCAGTTCTGCTAACAAGACTCTAAACTTTTCGGAAGAAACAGTGAATGCAACCACCTTCCCTTCTGGATTGTCCGTAGTTGTTTGGTTGAACTTGAGCTGTACTTCCGGTTCTTGTACTTGGTCTAGCTCACTTGAACCCAGGACGTAGTCAACTCTCCATTCTAAGTTGGAAATTCCATCTAATTTCAAGGTTTTCTCATGAAATGTTTGTTGCAGTTTGGAGAGATTTTCGCCATAAAGCTTGCAKAGAGCGACGCTGTGTTCTTTTGGTAATCCYAGCTGTTGTAGTTCATTAGCTAACGAGTCGCCATCTACAATATACTTAGCTGCACTTGAAAGAATAAATGCAATAGCAGCGATAGTAGCTTTGATATCTCCAACATCGTACTTTGCATCAGACGTGAGCTTCTCAACCTTTGCATAATCTATCTCTGCACCAAGCAAATTCTTGATAACTTGAGCACACAAAAGCCTCATTTTTATAGAAGTTATTTTTGAAAGAGTGCTTATCTCAGCCAAAACCCAATCAGGGCAATCRAGGTCTCCACAAAAGCGAAATCGCATTTTGAAATAGTTCCTCTGTATACTTCCTGCGGTGTATACTCGTGATTTATTCCACACTTACCCACAATGCACTGTATTACCCATAATGCCCTGGATATAATTTATGCGTCTGATTATTACGCAAATTAGGTTTATCCTCATTTGGAAGTTATATTTGACGTCCCCTGTAACGTGGCATCTTTTATCGGTCGGAACAGGTGATCAAAAACAACGTTCGAGAACAAYTCATCATGCAACAAATAGTGTTACCTACAGCTAGTTCTATGCTTTTAGCAATAGCTGCTGTTATTCTGGTCGTTYTATTAGGTAAGTAAGATCAATACGATAGGTTAAATACTGGACGAACAAGATGAGGGTCCACAATAGGTTTTGCGGAATGCGGGATAAGCCATTTTGTGATGCCGGGATTCGGGATCTGGACGAAAATTTTGACGGGATGCGAGATCTTAAAATGCAAGCGGGATCGGGATTTTGCGTTTTTCGCGGCGGGATTGGGATAACTCTAAAAATTTGCCGCGGGATACGTGATTTCTGCGTTCCAATTTGTTTAGTTTAGTGACAAGTATTTTCTTCTCTAGTGTTTCTTTTTGAAAAGGCGCATTAGTTAGCCCATCTTAAACGTAAAGAAAAAAAGTAAAAAATTAACCGTCAAAACGTCGTTTTTTTAGCCGTCAAACGTAGACCTCCATCGAGATCCTCCTCTATGAATTTCACAGTAAAACAATTGTTGTCTAGCAACTGTTTTGTTTCGTGTAGTGT